AAATGATTTTATATTTACAGTTAAAACTATTGTGCGAGTCCCAAGAGTTAATTTCATATGCATAAAATGCATTTTATCATATAAAATAAAAACACTATAAGTGAGAAAAATGATTTTATATTTACAGTTAAAACTATTGTGCGAGTCCCAAGAGTTAATTTCATATGCATAAAATGCATTTTATCATATAAAATAAAAACACTATAAGTGAGAAAAATGATTTTATATTTACAGTTAAAACTATTGTGCGAGTCCCAAGAGTTAATTTCATATGCATAAAATGCATTTTATCATATAAAATAAAAACACTATAAGTGAGAAAAATGATTTTATATTTACAGTTAAAACTATTGTGCGAGTCCCAAGAGTTAATTTCATATGCATAAAATGCATTTTATCATATAAAATAAAAACACTATAAGTGAGAAAAATGATTTTATATTTACAGTTAAAACTATTGTGCGAGTCCCAAGAGTTAATTTCATATGCATAAAATGCATTTTATCATATAAAATAAAAACACTATAAGTGAGAAAAATGATTTTATATTTACAGTTAAAACTATTGTGCGAGTCCCAAGAGTTAATTTCATATGCATAAAATGCATTTTATCATATAAAATAAAAACACTATAAGTGAGAAAAATGATTTTATATTTACAGTTAAAACTATTGTGCGAGTCCCAAGAGTTAATTTCATATGCATAAAATGCATTTTATCATATAAAATAAAAACACTATAAGTGAGAAAAATGATTTTATATTTACAGTTAAAACTATTGTGCGAGTCCCAAGAGTTAATTTCATATGCATAAAATGCATTTTATCATATAAAATAAAAACACTATAAGTGAGAAAAATGATTTTATATTTACAGTTAAAACTATTGTGCGAGTCCCAAGAGTTAATTTCATATGCATAAAATGCATTTTATCATATAAAATAAAAACACTATAAGTGAGAAAAATGATTTTATATTTACAGTTAAAACTATTGTGCGAGTCCCAAGAGTTAATTTCATATGCATAAAATGCATTTTATCATATAAAATAAAAACACTATAAGTGAGAAAAATGATTTTATATTTACAGTTAAAACTATTGTGCGAGTCCCAAGAGTTAATTTCATATGCATAAAATGCATTTTATCATATAAAATAAAAACACTATAAGTGAGAAAAATGATTTTATATTTACAGTTAAAACTATTGTGCGAGTCCCAAGAGTTAATTTCATATGCATAAAATGCATTTTATCATATAAAATAAAAACACTATAAGTGAGAAAAATGATTTTATATTTACAGTTAAAACTATTGTGCGAGTCCCAAGAGTTAATTTCATATGCATAAAATGCATTTTATCATATAAAATAAAAACACTATAAGTGAGAAAAATGATTTTATATTTACAGTTAAAACTATTGTGCGAGTCCCAAGAGTTAATTTCATATGCATAAAATGCATTTTATCATATAAAATAAAAACACTATAAGTGAGAAAAATGATTTTATATTTACAGTTAAAACTATTGTGCGAGTCCCAAGAGTTAATTTCATATGCATAAAATGCATTTTATCATATAAAATAAAAACACTATAAGTGAGAAAAATGATTTTATATTTACAGTTAAAACTATTGTGCGAGTCCCAAGAGTTAATTTCATATGCATAAAATGCATTTTATCATATAAAATAAAAACACTATAACTGAGAAAAATGATTTTATATTTACAGTTAAAATAGCTTCGACTGCAAAGGGTTAAGCGGTTTATTAATTACTAGATTGTAGATTTCATGCATTTGTGACGAGATTAACAGGGAAAAAAATATTCAAAACTTTGCGTTTCTTATTAGACCTGCCCGAAAAGGAAATTTTGTATCTTATTCCGCTTGGACGCGATCGAGACAGAAAATGTTTATTCTCGTCGCAAGTATGATTACGTACAGCACAATTTAAGCCATTGGATCGCATCGAGGATGTAAAGTCGACGGCAGGTTGGCTCAGCGGAATCCCTTGAAATTGGAATGCACGTCGGTACGAGTGAAAGATTCTCGAACGCGAGAAAAGAGATAGCGATCGGCGGAGCTGGTTAGAATGCATGAGGGCAGCAACAATTCAAAGCACTGATTTCATTTCTACGAGATCGGGGCGCGTCGCACGCAATCGCTGCCACGGATAGAACTAATTCCGGTTCTTGACTCAAGAGAGGACCAACGGCTCTGGAGAGAAGGCTCCGCGTAAATTCGTCGACGCGAAACGCCGGCTCGCCCGGTCCGGCTCGGCTCGGCTCGGCGTCGCCCTGACAATCGTCAATCACGTCCAAAAACAGATGCAGCCCGGCTGCAATATTCGCGCGACACACGAACGGCAGGGCTGACAAGGGCCGGCTAGAAATGCAGAGCATGCCCGATACGTCTTCACGGTGCAGAGGCCACCTGACAAAGGACTCCCCTGTTTCCTCTTCACTCGAGGACCAACTGAATATTATATCGCGTACGCTCCGCTTCGCCGAGATGCATACGCGAGAGGGAAAAAAATTGCGGTGGTGCAACGCGCGTGAAAAGCTCGCTTCCACGAGCCCGAAAAGTTCGGGGAATTTACGCCGGGCTGAACGGTAATAGTTCATCCGTCGATGGTAATTCGAAATCACAGGTCAGCACCGAAATTTAGTGGCACGAAACTGGCCGAACTTTAGCACCGGACGAATATAAAGCAGAATCGTTTTTGATACGGTTCAGTTTTAATCGTTACAGCGAATGCTGTTCTTCTTTTTTTTGTGGAAATATATATGGACACGTGACTTGGCGCGAAATTAACATTTTCTATCTCGATTGGATAAATGGAAAAATTAAAATATTTAATCTTGCCATAAATGGATACGAAGTCTAGTAATTATCGTATATTTCTTAAAAATATTTGTACAAAAATTTTTTAAGTAACACTGAACTTCTACTTCGCGCTGCTAATTAATGAAATGTGTTGCATTCGTATTATAATATTTTAACAATCACACGTTCCTTTTTTTTATAATCTATGTATACTTTGTAATGCGAACAGGAATAAATTAAACGGACGTTTTACAATATTAAGACATTGTTGGACATTTTTGCATTGTAAATTAATGAATTGTGCTTCCTCATATTTTTTATAATCTATAAATATATATAATATATCATATATAATATATCTAATAATATATCTATATCTCTCTCTCTCTCTATATATATATATATAATATATCTAATCTTC